AGAAAAAGAAAAAATGGAATGTTTTACTTTGTGAAAAGAACAATAACAGCTCGTTATTTAGTTTTTCGTATTGGAACAACCGCTTACCAAGGACAACAGTAATGATTGATGCTCAGCTAACAAGTGATTTATTGAAAAGAAAATCGAAAATCTACCAACTATGTAATTACAGTTCCTGTATTTGAGCTATTGGCATGTGTATGTGCAAAGCATATCGCGACCTTAGAATGACAAGGTTCTAACTCGCAATTTTTTCAAAATTGAGTTATATGCAGGGTTTCACTCAATATCGTTTAGAGCACTAATGCACAAAGTAGTACGATACAGCGTGACCGTTGTGCCACTAAAGTGGCAATTTTGCCACTTTTTTCCGCCTTTGCTACTTTTGTGATACTTTTTCATTTTGATACAAAATGTGCCACTTTTTGAAACTTTTTGTTACTTTGTGCCACTTTTTTAAAAAAGTACATAAATTAAAGCGATTTTTCATAAAACATAAGGCGGAGCGATTTTTAACTAGGTTGCGTTTTTTAACAGACGGAGCAATTTTTAACTAGGGTTCTGTTTGTAACAGACGGAGCGATTTTTATTATTATTATTATTAGGTCGCATTCGCATTTGTGTGTTGGTCTGTTCCCGTAATGCAAGAATCTACTAGATTTTACTATTTTCTTCGATAACATAAAAGAAAATTCGTTATCGTGTGTGTGTTTCGATTTGTAGAATTTTCGATTGCTATTTGTGAATAACAGCCTGTTTTTGTAAAATTCCAAACGAACGAATTCGAGTGACTTACGACCAAACTCCTTGGTTTTAAAAAATATGTCATTTATTTTTGTTTTGAATCAGAAAACCTTTATAAACATAAATAAAGGTTCGGTCGTAAGTCACTCGAATTCGTTCGTTTGGAATTTTACAAAAACAGGCTGTAAGTAATTAAAAAATAAATGTTATTCAATAACAATATATGGTCTGCTCCCTTACTGCAAGAATCTACTACTTTTTACTACGATAACGAATTTTCCTTTATGATATCGAAATAAATAGTAAAATCTAGAAGATTCTTGCAGTACGGGAACAGACCAATAGTATATACCGCTTATATATTGTAAGAATATGTGATTTTATTTAGTTTTTTTTTTCAGTTTACTGTATATTAAAATACACATAAATGAATTATTTGTAATGTTTTATATATGGTATGTTCCCGTACTGCAAGAATCTACTATTTTTTACTCCGATAACACTTTTTTCCTTTATGATATCGAAGAAAATAGTATAATCGAGTAGATTCTTGCAGTACGGGAACAGACCAATAGTTTTTTATTAAATTAAAAGTAAAAAAAGTGTGCCACTTTTTGTGACACTTTTTCAGAAGTTATCTGCTACTTTTTTTAAAAAATTATACTTTTTGTGATACTTTTTGAAAATTTTCAGCGGTCACGCTGGTACGATAGCGGTGATGGCCAAACACGTTTTCTCTTTGACTCTCTTTGCATCAGTCATTTTTGTTGATGATCTCTCAGTTACGCTCTCACGCATTTACTCTTAATTTAGTTCTGTTCAACACTGGTTTAGAGTATGGAATCATAGTTGGGCAGACGTGCACACCAGCGTTAATGCGTTCTCTTAACATTTTTTATGTTAAAACAAACATAAACATTAATGAATTTTTTTCCGACATTTTTTTAATGAATTTATTTTTTGAACTTCTGTGGATATTATTTATGCTTTAAAAATATTAAATTTAATAAATTCCGAGGAATAATTCATGGTTTTATTTTCGCTTAAACATTTTTTAAGAGAAATTTTGCCCACCATTGATGGAATAAAATTCAATCTGAGCTGCTTAGGCAAGTTTTTTTTAAAATAACTAGGTTCTATTTTTTACATTTGGAACCTTGTCACATTAAAATGACACAAATTTGTTTTATAGAACCTTGTCATAACAAATAACGGAATTTGTTCAGCTCTCCTCTTGCACGACTGCATGCTTTTATAACAACAGAACCACGTGCTTTAAATTTTAGTTTCATTGCTGATTAAATAGAACCATCAGTTGTGAAATTCGTTTGTTTTATAAAAAATTATAACTAAATCATGAGTACTGGTATCAACACTGATAGTCAACATCTACAAATAAGTTGTGGAATGGTAAGTAAAACTTATAAAACAAGATTGTCCTGACATCTCCTTTAAACATAAAATTATATCAGATTCAACAGATAAAGGTTCTCATAACAATCCATAGGAATCGGATTTTTCTGAAGACTATTGCCGATCCACTTTTTAATCCTTCGAATTTTTCTGATCCAATTGTCGATCCAATTTTTAATTCATCGCCGGCTTCCAAGGAAAATGAATTGGCTTTAAACATAAAATTATATCAGATTCAACAGATAAAGGTTCTCATAACAATCCATAGGAATCCGATTTTTCTGAAGACTATTGCCGATCCACTTTTTAATCCTTCGAATTTTTCTGATCCAATTGTCGATCCAATTTTTAATTCATCGCCGGCTTCCAAGGAAAATGAATTGGCTGGAAATGAGTCACAAAATCAAAATATTACGTGGATAACATAATAACATAGAAGAAAATCAAAATGGGGGAAAAATGGGAAGTTAATGAAAAAAGTGACAGAAGTTCCTGGCTGCTCAAAGTGTCCTCATAAATGTAACACAACGATTACAAGAAACGAGAGATGTGTTATATTCAAGTCTTTTTATAGTCTTGCACAAAACGAAAAGAAAATTTATTCTTCAGCAAACAGAGCGAGTTATTTGTGTCAGAAAAATAAAGATAAAACAGTGTCATCAAGAAGAAACTTTACATTTAAATATTTTCTAACAATCAAAAATAAAAAAAATAAAAAAAAACTAGAGACGGACGCTAATTCAGCTAAACCAGACGGCAGAGGAAAGTCGAGTGGGAGCAGCCGTTTGCTCAGTGGTGATATAAAAAAGGGATAATCGATCACATAAGTTTATTTCCGGCCGTATAATCCAATTATTGTAGGCAAAATACACAGAAAAAAATACATAATGTCAAGATTCAATGCGGAAAGAAAGAGATGCAGATAAAAATGGTAATTTTCAGATCTTAGGTTTTGATTTGCCAAATTTCATTAACTGTCCCAGAGCAGAAATAAGTTCGTTTTTTTAAGCTAAATATTTATAATTAAAGTGTATTGTGCTATATGGAATGAATCCGTATCTGGTAGAGCTGCAAATGATATTGACTGTGTAGTAGAGGAAAACGTTTTAACAGAGGTTATACTGTGGAGTGACTCGTGTGTGCCTCCAAACAGAAATTCTGATATGTCTAAATACTTGATGGAGTTTATTTCAAATTGTTATTAAGTTCTCAGTACCGGGACATTCCTGTATCCAGAAAATAGATCATGTGGATTCGTGTATCGAGAAAGCAATGCACAGCACAGAAATGTATTCACCTGTTGGAGTAATCGTTTATTAAAACTGGTAAACAGAAACAATCTTACAAAATTATTCAAATGCAACCATCATATTTAATTTTTTTTTTTTATAATTTTTTTTTTGTTTTTTTTGTCGTACTATTTTTGGAGGTTTTTATTTTGTGCATAAGAAAAAATCTTAAAATTACGTTTTTTTTTATATTGACTAAAATGTTGATGCGCACTTGGAATTTTTATTTAAGGTAGGCTTATGGAACAACCGTTCTCTAACAAGCCAGCTAAGCCGGCTTGTCTGTGCGAGGTGTATTTTTAACATCAAAAATTCCGTAACGGAATCTACAAAGCTACAATTGCTGTTACAGTATCAGAACCTAAACACCATTCACACTTTTAGCCGCTTGGCTTGCATTTTCGCATTTGTCAAAGGAAAACTTTAAAATGTACCTAATTTTTTTTGTTCACTTCCATTATTAACACCCTGTAACTCACAACTAAATGCACCAAACAAAAAACAGCGAAATATTTTTTTTTACTGCGAAATTCCGCCCTTCCAACGAGCATAAATCTGAAATTGTTTGAAACATACTTAACGAAAAATCTATCAGTACAGCCGTCTGCCGAAAAAATAATGGATTTCTTTTTTCCCAACCTATTTTTTTATATGAGCTATAGGACTCCATTAACATGCTTCGGAATGTCGATTTGGGCCAAATATGTACCGTTTTGTTGTATAATTTGTTGCCATTTTAAATGTAACTTCAAGAATTTGCAAAAAACTCTAGTAGTCGATTTTCACAATCCTCCCTAGATACCATTTTTTGGGGCTTCTTTTTGAATCCAGCTTTGTGTAAATGTATATATATATATATATAAAGTATCGCTAAGTTGACATTCTGTATTCTTGGTGCATGTTTTGACATAGATTCATATCCTTGCTAAATTCGAACGGAATAAAGATACATATTTATAATGTATAGATGAAGATTCGCTACCTCCTTGAAGACACGGCGTTTGTGAATGATTTCAGTGGAGTATTAATTTTAGTTTCTAGTAAGCGAATTGTTGAATTTTACCTTTAGTTGTATATGAAACTGTTAATTGTTAGAATGTGTTTTTAGAAAAGATTTTTAATTGGATTTATTTAAAATGTTTTGCTCTGTCATTATATAAAATATTAAATGTGTATATATTATAAATCTCACAGAATCGCTGTCATTATATATTTCTTCGCCATTATAAAATTTTCCATCATTTCCATCATTTCCATCATTTACATGTGAAATTTTCCCATCATTTACATATATATATATATATATTTGTATTTATTGAGATTTATCTAAGAATACCCGAAGAACTGTTTTCACTTCCTAAACCTAAAAACTTTAAACAATAAATATTTGTGTACCGTTTTTGCTGAAATTAGCACGTCATGTCTTAAACAATTTTAAAATGTTATTGTATTATTAAATAGAATATTATCCTTGTATAATACTTCTTTTCTTTATACAGATCGAATCATTCTCCATTAAAAGGTGTATTAATCATGATTTAACAATATCCCAAGATGTCCCCAATATTCCTATTACTTTGGATAATTGCATCAAACAAAATATTTGTAGCATGTCGTATTTCCGAATCAAAAAGCAACGTTACATATATTGCCACCAAGGCATCAAAACGCCAAAGTAAATTTTTATTTGACTCTATATTTCGGATTGGTTCTGGTATTTCCAATGTATTTGGCGACGAAACATCGGAGGATGAAGATTATGAAGACGTTTATATTGAAAAGTGCGATTGCGGTAAGTTTGAAAATATCAATAGAGCCTGTTCGAAAATGCAGTACTGCGCCGCATATTATGCGCAGTGCTTTCCAAAAAAAGCAAGCAGTGACAACACTGCAAATGCAACAACTCAGTAGTATTTTATGCGGAAACGGACAGTAAATACTAATCACAATTATAATGCAAATGCAAGTAAACAAAAGTGCAAGTAAAACATAATGCACCTAATTAGTAATTCCATCAAATTATAATCATAATATGCAGCGCAGTGTAGCATTTATAAATACACATATTTTTTTTTGTTAATCATAAAAAAATTAACACGTTAAAGTACATAGTTGTATTTTAAGCATTTTGTTTTCTTTGTAGATATATACTAGCTAAACATTTAAAGAGTGTTTTATAACGCATTTACATAAACACTTTATATCATGTGGATTTATGAAATCCTGAAAATAAATTATGGTCATTTGCACGGGCTTTGAGATAATCACCCCTATTCTGTATGAGTCTAAACGCAACCAGAGAGTCACGAGTCAGCGTCATACTTTTTCGCCGGCGTGAAAACCAAACGAAAGAGTTAGCGTTAGAGGCACAAAATGTCAATTATTTGTTTTCATTTTCTGACAGAAAATTTTACGTTGTGCAAAACAAAATCAATTTATTATTTAATAAACAATAATGTCAAGGAACTTGGATGAAATTATCGAAAAAAATATTTTTCTTCCATTTTATTATTAATTCGTTAAAAAACATCCACAATCATTGAAAATATTTGTTTTTTCAACAGCACTGCCATATGTTTTGATATAAATTCTCATTGAAATTTGGTAGCACTGTTGATTTTTACCTAAAATATGGCAACTCAATTGAGAGCAAGAGAGAAATTTTGAGTATGACGCTGAGCAAAAATGAATAAAATCTATTCTAGCGTCATGCCGCTAGACGCGAACGTCAGCCGTCGCGATTTCCCGTTGCCAATATAAACACACGGCAAACGACTGTCGCTGACTCTAGACTCTATGGTTGCGTTTAGACTCTATCTCGTCGTCGACACGACGTCGAAGAGAGTCTTTTTTTGCAAATTGGTATTCCCTATGTCGTTGTCGACATTTATCGATAACTATTGAAACATTTTTGGTATTCCGTAACAATGTGTGACGACGACGATGTCGAAGATTTCTTCGTCATAGTTTTTGTTGACGACTGAAGCGTTTGAACATTTTTTTTTAGAAATTGAAAAAAACATGACCGGACAAGAACAGGATACATCATTCTAGAATCTATTCAATACTTAATGCAAAATAAAGTTTAAATAAAGAAAAATATATGGGATCTATATATAAATCTGAACCGATTTTGACCAATGTCAATAGGACTCGTCTATGTAGAAATAACATTTTATCCCAATTGGATGGATTTTTTCCAAATTTCATCCCATTCGGATCATAATGGTGGCATGTAACTTGTTTAAAATAATACATGGATGGAGTGACATGCATAAATCGACTGAAAAATAATACTATGTACATATATACTAAAAAGTAACTATGGGTCTATCTCGTTTCTTTTTGGTCGTTGCAAACACATTTACCAAGACATAATGCCCTGTGCCACAGTGCGGTAAAGGATACAAACATATTTGTGCCCAAAAATATGCAACAAAATAAACAGCTGACCACATTTGATATTATCGATAAATAGTCGACATCGTCGCATGAGTGTTACAGAATACCATGGTATATTTAATAAGGTAGCCGCATCGGGCCAGCTGTTGGACAAATAAATGTCAAAAATGTTGTTGTAATGTTGAACCAAAAAATTAAAAAACAAAATTATAAATGAAAATCTCCGAATTTCTAATAGCTTTTTTGGCAATACTTTTATTAACAGTTTCCACAAGAATTTGTGTAAAAAAATCTTGCCAATCTTTTTGTTTTGGCAAAATATTTTTGACATATCAAAATACAACAACCGATGTTTGTTGTAGAAATTCGCCGATGCGGCTACCTTGTATATCTACCTTGCAGAATACCAAAACAGTGTCGAAGTGATGTCGATGTCGATGCGAAGTGATGTCGAAAGAGAAACGTCGTCGATAACGACGACGACATACGGAATAGGGTTGAATTTCTATTAATTGTCAGATAATATTCATTTACATATATACACACACTCACACTTGTTTAAATAAAGAAAAATTTTTACCACGAATTTTTGAATTAAAAATAAGATTTTAAATTAAATTTTTATTGGAATTTGATATTATAGTTATGTTTATAAGTGATAAAAAGTTTCACAACAAAAATAAATTAAAAATCGAAGACATATTAATACAAAATAACTTTCCCATACATTTAATAAAATCGTTGATAAATCAACACGAAACAAAAAAACGAGAGAACGAGAAACGAGACAGAATCGGAAAAAAAGATATATAAATCACTGATATATTTACCAAATATATCTGAACGATTGGAACAATCTGATATCTATGACAAAATAAAATATACAATAGCACATAGTTCATATAAGACAACAAAATCATTATATAGTAAAAAGCAAAATTCCAAAAATGGATAAACATAATGTGATATACAGTAGAGATGCTCCACATCAATAGTTTACCAACAACAAAACGAATAAACAACAAAGCAGACACAGACAACACAACTTACTGCTACAGACATCTAACGCGTAGGAAGGGGTCTTGCAATTAACCAATAACAATCAGTGCAATAATAACTTTTGACCGTGGTAGTCACACTACGCTAGTTTTAAGCTAATTATTTCTTATGTTTGTTATTTAAAGTAAGCGATCGTATCTTATGAGTTATATGTTTTTAGTATTAAAAAGCTGTGATATATATTCTAATTAGTTGTAATGTTTATTTATTGTAAATCAGAAAACTTCCCTGAAGATGAAATTCAACGAATTTCGAAATATCGGAAAATAATAAATAAATACAAATATTGACCTCAAGCTCGATCAGCCATCTATAATTTATGGAATTAGGTCCAACATGAGAAGGACATACACGTAAGCCATATGAGGCCTGTTGTACGCTCTAGATGTGTGGAGAAAGAAATAGTGAAGTGTATATTAATAAAGAAAAGCATTTGGGTTTGATTCCCTATGAATCTAGGAATTCCGTGTTTTTTGCGAACTCCTGCAGTCTTTTCCATTCACACCCCCTCAGATCGCCCAGTCCGTGTAGAGTGTCATTTCCCAAGAATTGTCTCCGAAGGCATGTAAAAGCTGGGCAATGGCATAGGAAATGTTTCAGTGTTTCACTGTCTTCCCCACACGCTCTGCACTTGTTGCTTCCTTCGCATCCAATCTTGAGTAGATGTGCCTTTAGGCCGAGGTGTCCCATTAGAACTCCCGTAGTCGGCTTATTTCGTTTTTGTTTAGCGTTAGGATTTGCTTAGTTTTGTCTTCATTTGGGTCACCCCATAAGATTTTGGTGATTTTTCCTGTCCCCACATTATCCCAAAGGGTTTTGTGGGTCTCATGTTCCCATTCCCTCATTTCTTGGCGTGTTTCGCTAAAGGGTTTTGAGGTATAGACCTCCATTGTGGGTAGTGCAATGGCACTCCTGGCTAGTTGATTTGCTATCTCGTTGCCTATGATTCCTTGGTGAGCCGGTACCCATATAATTTGTACAGGTCATTGATGTGAGAAATCATTAATGGTTTTTATACATTCCAGTACAGTTTTTGATTTAACTGTTCTGGAAGATATTGCATTTATAGCTTGCTTGCTGTCCGTAATAATATTTACTGTATTTTGTCTTTGTCTGTTATAGCTTGACCCTCCGCCAGTAAGATCGTGCTGTGATCTGTAAGACGAAGAGAAATTTCGGTATCCGGTTCTTCGATAAAAAGTCCCAGTCCAGTTTTTCCTCCCAGTCGAGAGCCATCCGTGTAGCAACAGTTACCAGGCGGCATCTGAACTAGTGTTCCGCTATTCCATTGTTCTCTATCTGGTATTATAGTTTCGCACCGTGTCACTACTCTTGTTTCAGTATACGGTCTGAATCAAAGATATTGAATGTCGACTCATTTGTTGCCTTAAAATGTTTTTATGCGGTGTGTTGTGTCCGGTGTATATCCACTCGTCCATTGCTTTAAGTCTTAAAGCTGTAGATGTATATATAATATTGTCTCCAAAGCCCTAGTTGGCGTTGTACGCATTGCTCCACATATTCCTAGGCAACACGTTCTTTGAACTTTCTGCAACGTTTTTAAGTTACATTTTTATCCATTGCTGTCCACCAGACAACAGACGCGTATGTTAGAATTGGTCTAATAACGCTCTTATATATCCAGTGTATCATCTTTGGATTGAAACCCCATTTAGAGCCTACGGCTCTTCTGAAGAAACACCAACATCTTTGGGCCTTGTCAGCCCTTTGCTGTATGTGGTCTTTCCATTTAAGTTTCTTGTCTAGAATTACTCCCATGCGATTTGTATGCGATTTTTAGCACCGGCTTTCCTGCATAGTAAGTTTGGATTATTTCTCCTCAGAAGTATTATAACGTCGTCTGCATAACAGACTGGTTCAGATCCTTCGTCGGTTAAGTTCCTTAAGAGTCCTTTTATGGTGGTTACCCACAGGAGCGGTGACAGAATCCCTCCCTGCGGTGCTCCCTGACCTACTTTGTCTTTGATTGTTATATCATATATGCTACAGCTTATCCATCTATTCCTTAGCATATAGTTGACCCAGTCTATGATTGCCCGGTCCACTTGGAAGGTATCTAGGATTGGATAAGCGTATTTGTGCTGACATTGTTGAAGGCTCCTTCAATATCAATGCATACCGCTAAGGTATACATCTTCTCAGCGAAGGTGCCCTCAATATATTGTACTACCTCATGTAAAGCGGTTTCCACTGATCTCCCCTTTACATAAGCATGTTGTTTGTATTTCAGCGTATCATTGGGTATACTGTTCCTATCATGGTGCCGATTGTACGTTCCATGGTTTTGAGTAGGAAAGAAGTTAGGCTTAT